CTAATTTGATGCATCACTGTGGTGATATGAAGCACCCGATCCCTCCACACTCTTAGCCTGGCCTCTTCTGTCCACTCCTCTACCTTGGGTTTTCCTGGACTCTTCGACTCTTGGCCTTTGCTCTGGCTGAGTCTAATGATTTTCTTGCCTCCTGTGGTGCCCCTTGGGTGTGAACTCTTCCTTCCTCCCAAGTGACAGTCATTTCCTCCCTTCAGATCTAGTCTCCAAGACTGCAGTGAGCAGGAAAGGCTGTCATGGTTGTTTAATATTGCATCAGCCCCTGCTAGGGGATCCAGCTGAGATGGGGGCTTGCTGTGCTAAACACTGTACAAATCAGTCCACAATAAGTGGTAGCCTCACCCCAAAGCTCTTTTTGGGGTGAGGCTACCACTTATTGTAGGCTGATTTGTACAGTGTTTAGCACAGCAAGCCCCCATCTCAGCTGGATCCCCTAGCAGGGGCTGATGCAATATTAAACAACCATGACAGCCTTTCCTGCTCACTTTGACCTACAGCTTTTGTTCAGTCCCTTTCTCCTTCTGCCATCTATAGCTGCCTCCCTCCACTGCCCCCTTGATGTAATTAGGCTTCTAAGGCAGGTTACATCACAGCCACTTGGAAAGGACTTGCAAGGCTGCTTCCTTTTTAGTTTGTAATGTAGCTTCCAAATAGGAAGTTCTTCATGTTCCCATTTTCAGTGTTAATGACAGAATACATATGCAAGTGTCCCCTCAATAGGGCTGTGAGACTAGCCAAGGACAGTGATGCCCTGTCCTGCAAGGGAGCAGGTGTAAGGAATGACAGCTTTGGGAATGCTGTCCATAGAAAGAGGTATAAAGGCCCCACAGATAGTCATGGTGCATGGCAGAGAGGCATGGAGCTACCTAGACAGTTGAGCACAAGTGAGAGGTCTCACAGCTTCAGGCCACCAGCAGCTACCATCCCACCAAAAGGTCTAATTAACAACAGATCTGCCATTGATCACCACTGATAGGATTTACCTTATTAGTTTATCCTCTGATGTCTGGATGATGTAAGGCTCTCCAGGAACCCAGCACAGGTGTGTTACCTGTGAAAGGGGAAGAATAATTAGAAACCTGCCCATGCATAAAGCCCAAACTAATTCCTGCCCACAAATGTACTGTGATAGCGCCCTGCCCTAGTCCAGTTCTGAGTGATCTTGTCTAGAGCAAAGAGGACTGGACAAAGGTTTCTCTGGACCCAACAGTGCAGCTCCTTTGCCTGGGACAGGGGTGCTTGTAGGTGCAGTGCCTGTAGGCTATTAGGAGATTGGGAAAGTGCTGTGAGGGAAAGGATCTTCATTAAGACAGATCAAACAAGAATCTAAGCCTGGGAGAAGATAGGTGACGGAGTATTAAAGAAGTGTGCACATGCATGGATCTTACATATGCTAGAATAGGCTGATAGGAAGAGTTGTGCAAATAGGCTAGGATTACATTGAAACAGCATAATATCCTCTCTCTCTCTCCTCCTATTCTGCACTGTCTACTTAGCATTATGGGGTAGGAACCCTTCTTCTTGTCTGGAATACCCAGGCCACTTTCAGTTTGCTCACTATTTTTGACATTTAAATTTGTTCCAGATTCTACTGTAGGTGTAACACCTACTTACTCTAGACTGCTTTTGACCCAGTGGGCACATCTACATGTTCCTTAATGCACTTTTGCTACTGCACATTAAGTTTAGTACTTCGAATATGAGGTACTATATAAAGGTGCATTAGGCTACCCTAATGCATAGTAGCAAAAGCAAATGCCTTTTTAGTGACACTTAATGAGCAATAGACTAATTCTACTGCACATTAGCATATTAGCACTGTTTTTGCTGTGATGCTTTAATACACAGTAAAATAAACTACTGCTCATTAAAACACACATGTAGATGCACCCAGTGTTCTCTAAAACTGCAGCCTCTGTCCTTCAGCCAATAATTCTGTTACATTTGCAATACAGGGTTTCCCAAAGAGAATTTGAGGCTGGTAGGAGTGGCCAGACTGAAAGCATTGGGGAGTGAGACTGCAATGCACACAGAACAGATGTCTCATGGGCTTGGGAGCTGTGCCCTGCTCATTACTGGAAGGGCAGAGATGACAGACATACAGCCTCTCTGCTCACTTATCCACCAGCCTTCTTGAACAGACAGCCTTCAAACAAGCCCAGGTCACGCAAATTGGGTATTTGGTGACATGGACCCAGCAACTCCAACCACAATGGCCTCTGGAGGGCCATTCTTTGGTAACTACTCCCAGCTGTTTCAGATTTGGCCAGCCTGGAGATCCTGAGTTTGGACCTTTGTTGAAATGAAATGCATCTTGCAGAGTCTTTATGCAGCTGGAGCTTCTTGTCTCTTTTGGGAACAAGGCTAGCCTACCAGGAGGCCTGGTCTCCCTGAGTTTCAAAGGAAAACTGGGCACCTCAGGTTTACATAATGCAGACTAGCAGTATAAATAGCTTCCTCTTTGCATAGTTTAACACACACTATGAGCCAGTGGGAAGGTAGCTGTAGTCTGGGGATAAACTATGCTCAGGACTCTTACCAGATTCCTGGAGATGGCAGTTCTGCACAGGCACTCCCCGGTCTCTATGTCCCATTTGCAAATGGTGTTATCTCGGGAGCCTGTGCATAGCTGTGAAGCATCTACAATCACAATAAGCTTATGTAAAAAAGGAGAGCAAAAGCAGAATTTGGATAATCACTGGAAGCAGGAGGCAGCTTTTCCCCACCTGGGCTCACAGCTAGTCCAGTTACAACCAAGTCATGTCCTGGGAAGTGTCGGCTTGGCTCTGAGTTCCCAGACAATTCCCACATCATCACTGTCTTGTCACGGGATGCACTGAAGAATCTGTTTGATTCAAAGACACAGGCAACCTGCACAGAACAGTGTGGAAAAGAAGGTTTTGATTATTTGATCAGGTGAACTTCATAAGATAAGCACAGCAAGTCTGCAATAGTACCAGAGCTGGAAATTCCTCTGCAGCTATATGCTCACCTGCAAAGCTCAGGTTATGCACCAAAAACTCTGGGCTATGCAATTCAGAGCAATGACTGCACTTCCATGAACCAAACTTGCTGGGTGTTCTGGCCAATAGCATCCCCAAAGTGTAGCCTCCTTCTACGTAAGCATGAGGATATATAACACAATCACAGGCCACTTTGCCACAAGACCCTGCATCATTCAGTGCACAGGTGTTCAGTTCAGAAGCAATTATGAAGGTCTTGTTTTCTACTCACTGTTCAATGCGTGGCCTCTACATCTTATTTACTACACACATCAAACCTTACTCTTAAGACTAATTTATTATAGGCTGTTCCATGATGCTCATGGAACACACTTTGTGACAGGATGTGATATTCTTTTGTAAGCTTTCTATCATATCTGTGCATGCTTCCATTTTCCTGACTTGATTGAATGCTGTTATGGGCTGTGAAAGAATGGGTTAACTTTAAACCTGGACTAGGAGATGGTGGGAAGAAGGTGAGATGTTGGTTTCTTTACTAATGGCTGTGGCTAATAGTGGGCCATCAGGAATTCTTCCTAAGGAAGAAGATGAGCCATTCAGTGTAAGTGGTAATGACTGGTGATACCCTTCAAGGACTAGTGCCTAGGAAGCAGATCAAAAAAGTCAGGCATGAGAAACTGGCTTAAAAAGGGAGTCACAACTTGGATTCTAGGACACAGAAAGATATCATGAACCAAAAAGGACACAGCTCCAAAGGCCAATTCTTCCTGCTGACAGGGGCTCTATTTAGGCATAGCATAGTCATTGTGAGACCAGGACTCTGTCTGCTATACTGCAGTTAGCCAATAAATGCGGTCTTCTTTGAGAGAGGCCGTCTGCTGTGCTGCATTTCACTTCAAGTTATCCCCCTTCCCTTCCTGCGGGAGGGTCCTAGCCAGTTGAAGCTCACTGATGAGGCCCTAGAGACAAGGAAGGAGCGTGTGATCTAAGGTCTGGCCTCAGTCCAATGAGCCATAGGCTCACCTCCACTGGAAGCTATGCCTGGACTGGTTTTAAGGAGTAGTCAGAGAGACTGTGCAAAGAATGGCAGTCCCAAACAGGAACACTTCTGTGGAATCCATGATGTAATTAATTAACAATTCATCTTTACCACCCCTTGAAGAAGGGAATGGGCAATATCATCCTTATTTTATAGGTGGGGACCAGAGGCACTAAGAAATTACGGTAAAAATATCCATTAATTTTTCGTCTTCAATTTGGTATTCTAGGACCAGAGTTTTCAGAGTACTCAGTAATAAATTGGGCTTCTTTTACGTTTAAAGCACAGCTCCCATTGACTTCAGCTGCAGCTGTGAGCACTCAGCACTTCTTTAAATAAACTACAGGGTCTCAAAATCATCAATCAGGGATTACTGAAAACTAAGCATCTAGCCCCAAGGATTCTCCACATCTTTCCTTCTGCCTGAGAAAAGTCATGCCTGCTGGGGATGATGAACCACCACAAGTATCTCTTGATTCCTCAGTCTCTGACAGATGTTAGAGATTCCAGCAGTCACATAAGACTTGAGCTTCACCTGTTAAGTCTGCTATGTACCTTGGTCACCTCACGTTCATGTCCAAGGAATCTCTTCAACACAGCTCCTGATCTCCAGTTGTATATGACGACAGTCTAGAGAAAGAACCATTTAGATTAATTCAGCATAGACAAAGTTGTGTAGTAACTGAAGTTATTCACACTGGTCTGCAAGTTAAAATAGCTCTGGTTTCTTTCAGGCAAATAGCTTTTCCTAACAAAGAAATTAGGACTATTGATAAACTGCACTAAGGAAGGATGTACTTGAAGAAGCAGGAAAAAATAGCAGTGGTAGATTGAAAATGTACACATCTGTTGAAATAAGGGAATTTTCTAGACTAAGCTACACCGAAGCAACATATCCTTGAAGCTGGATTTATACCTTAGGGTTGCAGTGACAATAGAAACTGTCAATAAAGCAAGACAAGCCTCAGCAACAGAACGTAAATATCAAAGCATACAGCCTTGGTTCGAAGCCTCAGGTAATAAATTATTCTTTTGGTCTTGAAATACAACAGTGATTTTTAGATCCCTTCTCAGAAGCTTTTCTTTTACAGTATAAAACACATCAAGGTGTACTGATTTTTAAGGACAAAGGAAGCAATTAGATCATCTAATCTGACCTTCTGTATGACAAAAACTACATAGCATTTCCCGCTGAATGTCTATGAGACCTGGACCCCCTTAGGAGATGCAATTCACTATACAGGAAGTCTTGCACCTAAACCCTCACTATCTGGATTGCCTCCACAAGCAAGATACTTATATTTTAGGTTGTGATGTCTACATGGTAGCATCCATAAGGTCAATTTGGATTAGAGAGCTGACCCTGTACTTCTTTTGTATCCATTTGTATTTATTTGTTCTCTGAGGATGTTGATGTGCTCCCCACCTTATCCTTTCCTCCTGACACACACAGGTCTGATTTCAGAGCAGCCACAGAAGTAACCGCATCAGTGTGAGCCGGGCTATATTGCTGAATAGCTTTAACAGGACTGTTCTCTTCCATGTAACCACCAGCCCTGCCAATGAGGAAGAGACACAGTAGTGTGAATTTCAGTAAATGTTACACAGAAGTTATCACACATACATTCCCACCTCAAAAAACACTCAACAGCGTGTCAAATTAGACTGAATTTTGAAGGGTAGCAGCACCTTCTTTCCCAGACAAATCTGAACATCTTGTTCTACATTTGAACAAGACACAGTTTATCAAGGTCCTTCCCAGCCCTATTTTGGATTATTGTTCTAGCAGATAAGAAGGGTTTTGCTCTCAGATTTGCTTAACCATAGCATTACTATTCTATTTTCTGCTGCTCTGTGCCTTTAGCTTATCTCCAGCATGGGGCCATTACTATCATCTCTCTGTTCATGATAGATTTAAACCTCTTCTCTGCAGGGAGAAGCATGCAAGCCACTCACTCAGACTATTAAGGTCCTCCTATCTGAGAGGCATGCTGGATTTCGGCTAGGCTGTTTACCGTTTCTCCTCTGCTTAAATAGGCACCCTTCCTGCTATGGCATCTCACCTTCCCTCCAGTAGGGATGGTGAAATGCCCTCCTTTTTCACCACAAACAGTTTGCACCACAGCAATGTCCTCACTTCAGGAACAAAGGACAGATCCCTATACATAGGTTGCTGGCACTGCTACGACCACTCATTAGTAGTCCTAGGACTGGCATCCTCTAAATTTAGCTAAATTTATCACTCCTATCATATTGCTAACCCCCAAGGAAATCCCTCTTTTTCCCATCAAATTGATGTGTAGTAGTGGTTGCAGGCTCCCTTCTGCTGGGGATGGAGGCATCCATCTGCTGGTCTGACCTGTTGTCCCGGGAGGTCTGCTTGTCCCAACCCCAGATCTGAGATGTCATGGAAAGATTACCAAGACTCGTCCAACCCTCTGACTATACTACCCTATGCCGCTCATTCATGTGGGCACCAATGATACAGCCAGGAGTGACCCTGAGCAAATCAAGAGTGACTACAGGACTCTGGGTGCAAGGGTGAAGGGGACAGGGGCAGAGGTAATGTTCTCGATCCTTCCGGTCAAAGGGAAGGGCTCAGGCAAGAGCAGATGCATCCTGCAGATCAATGCATGCTTGCACAGGTGGTGTTGTCAGCAGAGATTCAGCTTCTTCGACCATGGGATGTTGTTCCAAGAAGATGGATTACTAGGAAGAGACAGGATCCACCTGACGGAGAGAGGGAAGAGCATCTTCGCAGACAGGCTTGCTAACCTAGTGAGGAGGGCTTTAAGCTAGGTTCTCTGGGGGGATGGAGACCAAAGCCCTGAGGTAAGGGGGGAAGCAGGAGACATGGAGGAAACGCAAGGAGGAGGGGGAACAGGGGAGGCATTCCCATTCTTCCTGCGAGAGTAGGGCAACTGGCTAGTTACCTCATGAATGCACAGAGCCTAGGAAACAAAGAGGAAGAATTGGAAGTCTTCACACAGTCAAGGAACTATGATACGACTGGAATAACAGAGACTTGGTGGGAGCTCGCATGGCTGGAGCACTGTCATGGATGGGTATAAACTGTTCAGGAAGGACAGGGAGGGGAGAAGAGGAGGAGAGTTGCACTGTATGTAAAAGAGATGCATGATTGCTCAAGGCTGCAGTATGAAACTGGAGACAGGCATCTGGAAAGCCTCTGGGTTAAGGCTAGAGAGGAAAGCAACAAGGGTGATGTCGTGATGAGTGTGTGCTATAGACCACCAGACCAGGAGGATGAGGTAGATTTCATAGATTTCATAGACACCAGGGCTGGAAGGGACCTTGGAAGATTGAGTCCAGCCCCCTACCCCAGGGCAGGAAGTCAGCAGGGGTCATAGGATCCCAGCAAGATGCACATCCAAATGTCTCTTGAAGGCGTTCAAAGTGGGTGCTTGAACCACCTCCAGGGGTAGGCTATTCCAAACCTTGGGGACTTGGACAGTAAAGAAGTTCTTCCTTATGTCCAGCCTGAAACAGTCATGGAGGAGTTCATGACCGTTCAATCTTGTCATCCCTTGGGGTGCTCTGGTGAACAAATGTTCCCCCAGATCCTGGTGAGCACCCCTGATAAACTTATAGGTGGCCACCAGATCACCCGTGAGCCTGCGCTTTTCCAGGCTGAAGAGTCCCATAGCTCTCAGCTTCTCATCATAAGGTCTGTTTTCCTGACCTCTTATCATGCACGTGGCTCTCCTCTGCACCCTCTCAAGCTTCTCCATATCCTTTTTGAATTGC